ACATTAGGTGCATCACATTCATCATTTTAGCATACATAATTTTTGCAGCTTTTAGAGTCAAGCTTCGACTTCAGGATGAAGGCTACTCGACTTGTAAGCGCCTTTAAAGAACGATGGTGGTTGCTTAACTCGACATTAATAAGCTACACCTCAACCGACTTGACATCTCAGAATCAATTTTAGATAGGTTCGAGAACCAGTTCAAAACAAGTCTAGTTCGACTCAAACTCAACCATGAGCAGCATGTTTCCAGTTAACACAAGCCAGATTTCAATTCCACGACGGAAGACATCCGGCTCACAAAATTTGACGAAATGGGCCATCATTCATTTAAAGGAAATTTACAGCACAACTTAAGTCAAGAAAAGTTGTCTGTCAACAAACAACTTTCCAATTTCATTCAGAGTCTATTTCAATTTCGCAGCGAAAAAAATTGGACTCGAAACGACACAATTAGCTCGAGAGTAGATTTCAACTTCACGACGAAGGATATCTAGCTCAAGGCCAAACTTTACGACGAATGGGTCATCTATGGTTTCAACTTCATGACAAAGGGAATCGTGTCCACCCGCAACATAAAATACTTGGAAGGATATTCAAGTCAGGGCTCAACTTCACAACGAAAGGGCCATCCATGATTTCAACTCCATGACGGAGGATATTGTACCCACACACCCGCGATTTCAACTCCACGACGGAGGATATCGTGCCACTCAAGACAACACAAGTTCAACTTCACGACGAAGGGACCGCTGGTTGTCAATAAACAATTTCCCAATTTCAACTTCACAACGAAGGATATTGGACTCCAGACAACGCAAGTTCAACTTCACGACGAAGGGACCGCTGGTTGTCAATAAATAATTTCCCAATTTCAACTTCACAACGAAGGATATTGGACTCCAGACAACGCAAGTTCAACTTCACGACGAAGGGACCGCTGGTTGTCAATAAACAACTTCTCAATTTCAGAGCCAATTTCAACTTCACAACGAAGGATATTGGACTCCAGATAACGCAAGTTCAACTTCACGACGAAGGGACCGCTGGTTGTCAATAAATAATTTCCCAATTTCAACTTCACAACGAAGGATATTGGACTCCAGACAACGCAAGTTCAACTTCACGACGAAGGGACCGCTGGTTGTCAATAACCAACTTCTCAATTTCAGAGCCAATTTCAACTTCACAACGAAGGATATTGGACTCCAGACAACGCAATTCAACTTCACGACGAAGGGACCGCTGGTTGTCAATAAATAATTTCCCAATTTCAACTTCACAACGAAGATTGGACTCCAGACAACGCAAGTTCAACTTCACGACGAAGGGACTGCTGGTTGTCAATAAACAACTTCTCAATTTCAGAGCCAATTTCAACTTCACAACGAAGGATATTGGATTCCAGACAACGCAAGTTCAACTTCACGACGAAGGGACCGCTGGTTGTCAATAAACAATTTCCCAATTTCAACTTCACAACGAAGGATACTCAAGACAACGCAAGTTCAACTTCACGACGAAGGGACCGCTGGTTGTCAATAACCAACTTCTCAATTTCAGAGCCAATTTCAACTTCACAACGAAGGATATTGGACTCCAGACAACGCAATTCAACTTCACGACGAAGGACCGCTGGTTGTCAATAACAATTTCCCAATTTCAACTTCACAACGAAGGATATTGGACTCCAGACAACGCAAGTTCAACTTCACGACGAAGGGACCGCTGGTTGTCAATAACCAACTTCTCAATTTCGGAGCCAATTTCAACTTCATAGCGAAGGATATTGGACTCCAGACAACGCAAGTTCAACTTCACGACGAAGGGACCGCTGGTTGTCAACAAACAACTTCTCAATTTCAGAACCAATTTCAACTTCACAATGAAGGATATTGGACTCCAGACAACGCAAGTTCAACTTCACGACGAAGGGACCGCTGGTTGTCAACAAACATTTCTCAAATTCAGAGCCAATTTCAACTTCACAACGAATGATATTGGACTCCAGACAACGCAAGTTCAACTTCATGACGAAGGGACCGCTGGTTGTCAACAAACATTTCTCAAATTCAGAGCCAATTTCAACTTCACAACGAAGAATATTGGACTCCAGACAACACAAGTTCAACTTCACGACGAAGGGACCGCTGGTTGTCAATAAACAACTTCTCAATTTCAGAGCCAATTTCAACTTCACAACGAAGGATATTGGACTCCATGCAACACAAGTTCAACTTCACAACGAAGGGACCGCTGGTTGTCAATAAATAATTTTCCAGTTCCAGAGCCAATTTCAACTTCACGGTGGAGGATATTGGACTTGGAACAATACAACTTACTCAGATTTCAACTTCACGACGAATGATATCCAATTCGAGGCTCAACTTCACAACGAGAGGCCATCCATGGTTTCAACTTCACGACGAAGGGAATCGTGCCAACCAAAGACCTTTGAGTTCGACCACGCTCAGCTCCAACGCATGTCATTTGCAGCATAGCTTAAGTCGGGAAGGGCTATCTGCCAACGAAGACCTTCTGAGTTCGATTTTATTCAGCTCGAGGCCCTATCAACCATAGGGTGGAGTCAAGAAACTACTTCCTAGTCGAATTTTTAAACCAAGGTCTTTAAACCAAGAAGAAGACTGAAGTTGACTACAATTGGGCAACAAGAAGTTGCATCCTGATTCAAATTTCGGATTACGACTTCAATTCCAGATCATTTCAAGATGAAATCGATTTCACGACGGAAGAATCATCCGCAAATTAATTCGACAGGGAGTTATTCTATTCCAATTTTAACTCCACTGAACGAAAATTTGTGTCTTTTTATCTTTGTCCTATTTTTCGTTCCCCGAAAAAGGACAAAGAGGGGCAGTTGTCGACACATATTTTTGTCCGATCACGCGACATTTACATGTTACTTTATGTGTTGTTATTTTTATTATATAGTGTGTATGTATTATATGTATGCATATTATATATTATAATTTAACTACTAATTTGTTATTTATTGTTACAGGCCCAAAGACCAAATGCAAACAAGTCCCAATGGCCTACATCAACAACCCTAGCTTCCATATTTTCTCACAAGCACCGCAACCAACGTGCAAGGGGGAACCGCCCGTCGAGTTCCACGGTCAACCCGAAGACGCCTCTCGCCTCACGTCTCCCTCCATGTCACCGGAATCCTCGCCAACAACCAACAAATCACCAGCAAAGCAAGAATTTCAGTCCTAACGGGAGTCTAAAACCGGATTAGCACTATAAATACACATGCAAGGAGGAGGAGAAGAGGGGGAACTGAACTGGGGAGAAATGGAATTTTTTTGGGTTTAAACCAAATCCTATGGTACCTTTCTTATTCCTCGTGGTTAACAACATTCGGCCAGAAATTGAAGGAAGCAAAACCAAATTGTCCATCCCTTCCTCTCTGTGTATTTGATTACACCAAACCCAGACCATATCGTACGCCGCAGTTCCCCTTCTCCTGCCACCGTCTCTTCCCTTAGTCCAGGAGTATTTCGAGCAGCTTATTTCGAAACACCGATGCCAAGGTATCAAAGTGAAACAAAACGGCGAATTTGGAAAAGAGAAACATGGAGGCATCAAAGACGATTCAACATGAAATTGGAGGAGTCCAGAATAATGCTTTCCGATTTGGTCTCCACGGCATAAAGAGCGACCTCGTCGGATCTCACCATCTCCAATCTGTTTGTGAATCTGCAAAGAAAACCGAGGGGATGAAGAGGAAAGGCCTGACCAATCTTTAACAATTCTCACTTAAAATGGATCTCGATAGGCAAATCCTCTCACGGTTCCAGAGGCCATTATTATTTACAATTTTTTTTCTTTTTTTTAGTCGTCCTTCCCTTTGTAAACAGCAGCATCAACTTTTATTGTTTTGTGCTTTTTATTCTTAACTTCTGTTTAAAGCAGAATGCCCATGTGACATAGGACTTTGGGGTAAATTCTCTCCAAGGTCCTCCAACTATAATGGGTAAAACCCTCAAGGTCCTCTGATTTTGACACATCCTTTACTTTATTTCCTTGTAATTCTAGTTTTGATACTTAGTTCTGATTTTCATTATTTTAGTCTCTAATATGTTTTCATTCATTACTTACAGGTTACGTTCGTTTCTCTTTGGACCTTATTTTTTCCTGCTTTTATTTTGTTTTTACTAACCTTTATTTGTTTTATTTCAGGTTCCTATAATCAACACTTTTAATATATAATTTTGTATATTTTTATTTATTTTATTATTATTTATTTTATTTCATTTTCTTTCTTAACTCTAATTTTATTTTTTAGGGAATCCAATTCAATTTCAAACGATTGTCAAAGGTAAATAATTCAAATCGAGTTTTTAAATTTTAATTTTAATTTTAATTTTTTCGCAATTAAAGACAACCGACAAATTAATTGGTACCGAAAGGGCGGTTCAAGGGTGCTAATCCTTCCTTGACCGTAACAGACTCCCGAACCTAACACATTTATGGTAAAACACATATCAGGTAAGATGGTGTCCGACCCACCTAAATTCGTTTTAAAGTGGTCGGTGGCGACTCCAACCCAATCAATTCAAGTCGAAGCCCAATTCTGGGGCCTAACCGAAAGACGGTTCCGACAATACCTAATAAATTTTAAAAAAAATAAGATTTAAATTGACTATTCAAATAAAAGTAACAGGGACATTTTTTGGGATTATGCCGAAAAATGGATGCCAAAGTAGAAAAATCGTAATAGTTTGATGACCAAATAGAAAGATGATAATCGTTTAGTGACTAAATAGAAAGATGATAATCGTTCAGTGACCAATACTATAATGTATCCTAAAATTAATTAAAAGCTTGAAAATCCACCCTCGAAAACATCCCACAAGAGCACGAATAAAGGACAAAGAAAAAGGGGCATCACCGTCATTCGTCAATTCCAAAGGCTTCCTTATAAACCTTCCCAAAAAACTAAAAAAGAAAAACATATATATTTAAGCGGTAAGGGAAAAAAATTAAAATCCGAGGCTTGTTCCTCTTCTTCGTTCGGATTCTACGATAAAATAAACCTAACCGTGGTATTTCCCATCAAATCAGGTAGCTTTTACTACTTTTTCCCGATGTTTTAACGGTTCTGGTTTAATCGTTTTTCATTTTCATTTAAGGGAAAAATGGATGGATCGGGAGGAAGAGGAAGTGGAGTGGATAGTGCATTACCTAATTACAAGCTTGGAAAAACGCTTGGAATTGGTTCGTTCGGAAAGGTTAAAATTGCTGAGCATATTTTGACTGGTCATAAAGTTGCCATTAAGATTCTTAACCGAAGGAAGATCAAGAATATGGAGATGGAGGAGAAAGGTATTTTTTTAATAAAAATTTGATTGTATTCTTTTTTCAATGATTGAGTTTTTTTAGGTTTTGTTTAGTTTATGATGAGGGAAAAAAATTAAGACTGAGGAATATTGTTAATTAGGATGAAAAATTCGTTTTTTTTAAGTTTACGGATAATTAATTTCATTGGTTACAAGTATTTTTCCCTTTTTGTTCTGGGTATTTTTTTTAAGTTTGTCATATTGGAAAATCAAATTTCTTAGGCTCAATTTGGTTATTGTTTTTGTTACTTGTAATTTTGTTTTCTGAAGAAAAAAAAGGAGAATTATTTTGAAAAATCAAGTTTCATACTTCATTATTATTTATTCCTATAGGTTGGAAACAATTCAGTAAGTAAAATTAAGAGGTAACCTTTAATAGCCTTCTCTAATCTTTTTCATGATTTTTTGCATACTGATCTATTCCTTGTAACAGTTAATAGATTTTGGCCTAAATCTCGGAGATTTTATTTTGATTAACTGAGATAAGTATAAGGTAGTATTTATTTAAAGACAACTCTCAACCATTTGACATTGAATGCTCCCTAGCATTCCCCTGGTGCTTGAACCCGATACCTCAAAGAGTAATAACAATTCCTTTACCATCGAGGTGTTTGGTTCGTGCTACTCGGAGATCTTTTAATTATTAATTATGTAAATAAATATATACTATTCCTTACTCATAAAAATACACTAAAAAGTTTTCTCTTTTCCACTTTTAGTTTTCCTTTTTGAGATTTTCTCATTTATTGATTGAAAGAGGCTTACATTTTGGTGCAGTTAGAAGAGAGATTAAAATTTTGAGATTGTTTATGCATCCTCACATCATACGACTCTATGAGGCCATAGAGACTGCAACCGACATTTTTGTGGTTATGGAGTATGTGAAGTCTGGAGAACTCTTTGATTATATTGTAGAGAAAGGAAGATTGCAGGAGGATGAGGCTCGCAACTTTTTTCAGCAGGTCTGATTGGATATTCTGGAGTACTAGTATTTGTGTACATTATGTTTCTCGGAAATTATTAGTATGAAATCTTTGTTTGGATGCCAGATAATTTCTGGGGTGGAGTACTGCCATAGGAATATGGTGGTCCATCGAGACCTTAAGCCGGAAAATTTACTTTTGGATTCAAAATGTAATGTGAAGATTGCTGATTTTGGCTTGAGTAACATAATGAGAGATGGTCATTTTTTGAAGACAAGTTGTGGAAGCCCAAACTATGCTGCGCCAGAGGTAGGAGTTTGTGAATTACAATTAGTGATGACATTATCCAGAGCTAAAGTGGATCTACACTGTTATAGGTCATCTCTGGGAAACTGTATGCTGGACCTGAAGTGGATGTTTGGAGCTGCGGTGTTATATTGTATGCCCTTCTTTGTGGTACCCTTCCTTTTGATGATGAAAACATTCCCAACCTCTTTAAGAAAATCAAGGTAAGATACATCTATTTTCATGTTTGCTTTCTGAGATGTCTCTGTTGGAACTCTGATAAGTCGTTATTTTCAGATTATGATCATTTGATCTTCATGTTGTTTCTCTCCTGTCGATATTCTGAATAACATATTTGACATGTGAGTTTTTTAGAATTAGGTATATCTATTATTTGTCTTATTATTTTTTGGCATATAGATAGATGGTTAGGATCCTACGTTATCTTTAGGAGTAAAACTTTATTTGTAACCTAGTATAAAGAAGTTGTAAAACAGCTTTACAGCCAATTTTTATTATTGTTCTTTGGATTAATAGACTTCAGAAACTAGAGGTTTATTTCAACCCTATGTTTTTCTAAAGTTCCAACTTTTATCTTACATGTTTTTCACCCTTTGATTTGCTACTGTTTTCTCCCTAAACTGCATAATTTGCTTCCAAGTTTGTTTATTTCTTGAATCCTGAAAGTGCTTATAGCTTGGAATTTGCATTATTTGTCCTTCAGGGTGGCATATACACTCTACCAAGCCATTTATCCCCTGGTGCTAGAGATTTAATCCCTCGGATGCTTGTAGTTGACCCAATGAAGAGAATGACCATTCCCGAGATCCGCCAGCATCCATGGTTTCAAGCACATCTTCCAAGATATTTAGCTGTTCCCCCACCAGATTCAATGCAGCAAGCGAAAAAGGTTGATATTTTTTCCCAACTTGAACTCAGTTGTAAGTATATTTATTTAGTTGTAAGTATATTTATTTAGTTGTAAGTATATTTATTTACTGTGATATTGACCCTGAAAAGGATTCGTTTGATGTGAAAATCGACCGTTATGGTTGAATAAATATACCTAGACTGCATGTCCTTGTAAAATTATGAACTCTTGTAAGCTTTTGAATGTGGTTTTCAGACATTTTAATTCCAGAAGCCCGTTTCATGGGAGAAATCCTTCTGAGCACTTGTGCTATTAAGGATAAAACGGGAGACTTGTATTAATCATATTTTTCTTTCTTGTTATTGGACTCGGAAATATGTTTGTTCCAATAAGTTATTTCCTTACTATTACCTATCCCCTAACATCTATCTTTTGGTTGTTGACTCAAGCCTTGCCTAAATGCTTTCTGGATCATATCGTAAGATTTAGCTAACCACTTATTAGTGCCTCAACATTTGAATTCTGATATATCATGTATTTTGATGCTCTGATGCTCTACTTACTGATTGAAATATAATTGCAGATTGATGAGGAGATCCTTCAGGAAGTGATTAGAATGGGGTTTGATCGGAACCATCTGATTGAATCTCTTCGCAACAGAATTCAAAATGAGGTTTGAACTTCTCCAACCCCTTGTTTTCATGATTTTTGGGCAGTTTCTTATTTCATGTATCTTCCAGGGAACCATTGCGTACTACCTACTATTGGACAACCTGTTCCGGGTCTCCAGCGGCTATCTTGGAGCTGAATTTCAGGAAACTGTGGTGCATTTTTTTTATTTGACTTTTTCAATTCATCGCTAACATTGCTGATCTAAAGCTGCCTCATTCATTGAATTAATTACAATTTGAGGGGAAAAAAGAATCTTCAATCATGATCTAAGAGAGTTGACTGATCAGTTACCTATTTCTCTTACTTTACAGTATTATTATTTTAATTTTATTTTGCTGACTTTCATTTAGGGTTGCAATTCTAATTTATTTTTTAATAACTTTTAGGAATCTGGCTTCAACCTCATCCATCCAAATGAACCTACAGTTCCAGCTGTTGGACACCGCCTTGCAGGATATGGTGATTATCAAGCAATGGGTTTAAGGGGACTTGAGAGGAAATGGGCTCTTGGACTTCAAGTTGAGTTTGTGATTTTCAAGTGGTTTTCGCACACAAGTGCTTCTTTTACATTGATACTTACTAGTTGAGGAGATTGACAATTAAGACTAGATTTAGTATGTAGGATGTGTTTTTATTTTTGTAGGACTACTTTTATGTACCTGAGTTTGATATTGTTCTGTTTTTATTTTTGTAGTCTCGTGCCCATCCTCGTGAAATCATGACAGAAGTTCTCAAAGCCCTGCAAGAACTCAACGTGTGTTGGAAGAAGATTGGTCATTACAACATGAAGTGTAGGTGGCTTGCTAATATTCCCAGTCTCAATGAAGGCATGGTTAACAATTCTGTGCACAATAATAACTACTTTGGGGATGAAGCAACCATTGTAGAAAATGACGGTATTACCAAGGCCCCAAATGTTGTCAAGTTCGAAGTGCAGGTAATTTTGGATTGCAATCAGAATTTTTATATGGAAATCAGGTGCTAGGCTTGCTCTGCTATGTTGTAATTATTGAAAGTCCTGATTAAAAGTGCTAACATGTATTTTTGCTGTCATGGATGTTGTCGACAGCTTTATAAAACCCGCGAGGAGAAATATTTGCTGGATCTTCAGAGGGTTCAGGGCCCACAGTTTCTGTTCTTGGATCTCTGTGCTGCATTCCTCACGCAGCTCAGGGTCCTCTAGCGTGAGAAAGTTATATCTCCAAAGACTCTTAAGACTCTTGCTAATGAATCTCCTATAATGCAAGTGAATAAGAATGAGCATATTCTATGTATACAACTCTCTTTCCTTCTTTCTCGGTAGTTTGGAGGAAAGCTTCACCTCTTTGTTTTATAACCCTCCATTTTAGATGGGTAATTGTGGAGGCCAAGGCAATATTAATGTGTGTCCGCAGGTACACAGCTTTGCCTTTAACATAATTAGGTTTCCACAATGTTGTATGGAACTAAAGGGGATTTTTTTTAATGAATTTTCATCAAATTGCTTAGTTAAATACTTAAATGATGTTTTAATTTTCGGTTTTTCAATTATTCGATCTTTGTAAATTTGAACTTGAAATTTGAGTTGATTCGAACAACTAAAGGGAATCAAATCGAAATTTGCTCAACTCAATTGTGCACGGCTTGACAACCAGAAGCATCCGAGTCTGGGTTTGAGGCACTAGCATTCATCATTCCTGAGGTGATGCATCTAGGGGTGCTTAACGAGTTGAGTAGCTCGAATTTAACTCGGTCAAAACTCAGTAAACACTTGATTCGAATTGGCTTGACTCGATGAGTTCGCGAACAATTCGTTAATTTTTTAAAATATATTTTTAGTAATTACTTCAAAAGTATTTCATTCAAAAAATAAATCTAAATAATAATTATTAATTTATTAAAAAAATAAAAAATAATAAGTTAACTAATCTATTATTTTTTATTAAATAATAAAATATTATTAATTGGTAATATTATTTTAATACAAAAAACCCAACCCTAATACCTCGTATAATATTAGTAAATTTTATTTTTAGTTAAAAAAAATAAGGTAAATTTTTTAGTGAGCTTAACGAGCAATGAGTCGAGTTGAGCAACAAATTTTTTTAACGAGCAAGAGTCGAGCATAATTTTAACGAGCTTAACTAGTCGAGTTGAGCAACATATTTTTTAACGAGCAAGAGTCGAGCACTGCCCAACTCATGATCGACTCGCTCGATAAACTCCGATAGATGCATCTCTTGCCATCTAATTATACCTTTAGCATGCATGCACCAAGGGCGGATCAGAAATTTAAATCTGGTAGCTCATCTATCGATAATAAGAGTTTGTTTGTTTTATTCAAAAAAATATTTCATAAAATAAATTACATTTTTTTAGTAAATTAAATTAAAAAAATTGATTTTATACCTCTACAATCTATATTGTTTTATTCAAATTGGTCAATCAATAAATTGAATTTATGTGATTATATTAAAAATATTAAAAATAATAATATTATTATTTTCAAAATATAATAATAATGTAATTATTATTATTTTTAATAAAAATATTATTAATTTATTTATAACTATACAAATTAGTTATTTTTCTCTCAAAATGTATTATTTTTTAATATAGCTACAATATAGATAAGTTTGAAGAAAAAACTTGTGATATTAATATTATTTTAAAATTATACGTACTAATATTTTGAAATGTATAACTTTTTAGAATATTAATATTATTTTATTTAAATAATTAATTATTTTAAAAAATAAAGTTTAGAGTAAAGTTTTGTAAAGACAAGCCTACATTGTATGTCGCAACACACCATTAAAGTAACTTACTGAAACACACCATTAATTAAATTGTCCTTATTAAAGGAATATTAAAAGGATAAATTATATGTTTAATATCTACACTATCATTTTTATTTCATTTTAATACTTAAGCTTTATTTTTTAAAAACATTAATGACAATCCTAATGTGACATGACATTTTAAATTTTTTATTTTTTAATTTCCATATCACATTTTTATTTCTTTATCAATATTTTCAATTAATTAAATGATGACACATGTCACCAACTATGAAGATAAAATAAAAGAAAGTATTTTTGCTTTTAAGATGAATTGAAATTGTCTCTTACATGAAATAAATAACACTCAATCATTGAGTTAAACTAGTAATTTAAGTTAATTTCACCCCATTTTGTATTTAACTTATATAAGAGCATCATCACAAAATTAATATTTTCTTATAAAATTCGAATATGTGGCACTTTAAATTAATGATCGAAAGTTTTTTTCATTCAACTATAATGCAAATCTATTTTTATTATATTAAACTTAATACTTACTTATACCATTATTAAATTAAAGAACAAATTTTCACTTTATTTGGAAATAAAAAACAATTAAATAATTATTTATATATATTATAAAATTTATATTAAATTATTCTAAAAATTATATTTATAATATTATGAAACTATTTTAAAAATTTTATTTAATTTTTAAAATCATATTATTTATTTATTTGAAATAATATTAATTATTTATTTTAAATATTGTTATATTTAAATTATTTATTTAATTTTAAATAATAATGTACGGAACCAAAGTGATAATTGGATACTAAATGTATAATTTAACCTAAATTTAAAATTATTTAAAATTAAATAAATATTTTATAATATTATAAATATATTTTTTATAAATTATTTCATATAAATTTTATAAATTTTATAAAAATATATTATTTTTAAATAAATTAAAAAATTAATATCTTAAATTAATGATGAATAAGTAAGTATTAAGTTCAGTATAATAAAAAAATTCATACTATAATTGAGTGACTAAGCTTTCGATAATTAATTTAAAGTGTCTCATATTTGAATCTTATAATCATAAAAAAATATTGATTTTGTGGTGACATCGTTATATAAGTTAAATACAAAATATGATGAAATTTAACTAAATTACTAGTTTAGTTTAATGGTTTATTGATTTATTTCTCATATATGAGATTCAAGTTTAATTCTAACTTTTTATCCCCGTAATTTGTGACACGGTTGTGGCACATGTCACAATCTAATTGGTTGAATAAAATTAATTAAAAAATACCGACGAATAAAGAAAAAAGTAGTGTAATAATTAAAAATTAGAAAAAATTACATGCTATACCACATAAATATTATTATTAATGGTTTTAAAATATTAAAATTTAGATATTAAAACAAAACAATTGTGATAATTTAAGTGCAAAACAAATAATTTATCATTTTAATATCTATTTAATAAATAATGTATTTTAATACGTCACTTTAATCTTTAATGTTATATTATAATATGTGACACGTACAGTAAAATTTTCCAAATCATTTGAAAAATAATCATAAAACAATTTCAAGCTATTACTTGAAACACTAATCATACTGAACTTGTTCAGCAAACTAAAACAGAACTCCGTAATAACCACAAGCTTATACGTGTCAGGCACATACCTCGAAACTCCCAAAAGTACTCCCACTATCGGCGTGTTTTTATCGTTGTCTACTATACGGAAAAGAAAAACGATAACCATAAACGACCGAAAGCGCTGTCGTCTCGATCGCCTTCGACGTAAAAGGAAAAAGGAGAGTTTCCGAAAGCCACCGTTGAGCATCGATCGTCTTCATCTCAGGTTTCCTCGTACACTCTCTATTTCTTTTTCCATATTTTAGATCAATTATTTAGCTTATTTAATTTTAATTTTACTATTTTTTTCAGTTAAATTTAAGGAGAAGTTTCTTTTGTAAAAAAAAAGAAATTAAAAGATGAGTGAAGTTTTCGAAGGATATGAACGGCAGTATTGTGAGCTATCGGCGAATCTTTCCAAAAAGTGTACGGCTGTTGATGCTCTCTCTGGAGGTTACAATTCAAATCATTTTACATATATACATATAATTTTTTCTTTACTATATTAAGTTAATTTGTTTGATCGGTTCTTTCCTTTGAAATATAGCGTAAGGAATCTGATGTTATTCTCTTTTTCTAATGCTCTGATGACAAATTAGGATTTCTATTTTTCTTTTATAAAAAAACAAAAATAAGATTAGAATGTTTAATTGGGGGATATGAGGATGAAGAAAGGAAGATCCGATCTTCTTTATCTCTACTGTGGTCTTTTAATTTTGATTTCAATCTAATTTGTTAATAATCATGATTTCCCGGTGTCCATTTTCAGCTTAAAGTATTTATTTATTTATTTTTCTCTAAGGTATTGATGTAGATTAGGCAAAGAAATAAACCTATGCGACTTGATTTCTGAACTTTAAGTTGAATATATCTAAGCTAAGAATTTGTATCATATTGGCTTGCTTTGACATAGCCTTATGAGGGCTTTCGATTTTATACTTAGAATCTTTGAATGAATGTATTAGTTGCATGTTTCATGTGATTTTCTGAATCGGCAAAGAAAGTGAGTTTCTGTTAATTGATAAAGGTTATCTTTGTAATGTGTAAACCAAGGCATAAAGCTTTAGTGGCTTAGAGCAATTTTCATGTGAGTCTTCATTTTTCTTTAAGTACCTTTATCTGTACCTATCTGGACATAGTTATAAGGATATGCTCCTTCAAATATATGAAAATATTTTAGATTAAATTAAGCATACTTGTGTCATATACATACCTGTATCACTCATTCGAGTCTGAGTCCAAACAACTTAGGTTTAGAGTACCCTATTCAAGGGAAACAAAAATTTTAAATGCAACTCTACTTGGGAACAGAAAGTTTTAATTTTTTACTCCATTTTAAGAAAAAAAGATTGTGTGGTCAACTTTGCTTCTTATCTTTGATTCGTCAATTTGATAATTCATTAGATGTGTTCGATAAGAAACTTTTCTATTTGTTCAAGAATCATCCTCTATAATGAGCCAATTGTTCTTCAAATTTGTAACCCCCTAAACCCGGCCTATGCATTTCGACTAAGTCTAGTGGATCACATTCATAATTCTTAAAGACATTTTTCCGAAACCGTTATTCTATCAACGAAAAATCATATTTATAAATGACATTTATGAAATTATAATAAATTATATTATAAAAAAACCAACTCATAATTATGAGAAAAATAACAATTTAATTAAAACATGTCTTTAAAAATCCAAATTACAATAAATGGATATAAATTAGCAAAAGAAGTACTCATTATAAAATCCAATACTTTTAAAATAAGGTCTATGTTACCATAATAGAGTCAACTTAAAAGATAAAACATTACAATACGATATACTTCAAGAGATATGTTGATCCTCCTAGTGCTTGATCTGAGTATCTAACCAACAGTATCTGAAAGGGGAAAATATTTTCGAAAAGTGAGCTAGGCTCAGTGTGTCCCAATAGTACAATAAAATCATAATAGGTACAGTAATTGAGTAATAGTTCAGAAATTTATCATCAAACCATAATGAAGTTTAACTTTTGAAACTCGTAATTTTAAACCCTT